CGGCCAGCTGGCCACGGCCAGGCCAGCCACTGCCAGACCACGCCATGGCCAGACCACGCCACAGCCAGGCCAGCCACGGCCAGACCATGCCACAGCTAGACCACGCCACAGCCAGGCCAGCCATGGCCAGGCTAGCCACAGCCAGACCACACCACGGCCAGCTGGCCATGGCCAGGCCAGCCACAGCCAGGCCAGCCACGGCCAGACCACGCCACAGCCAGGCCAGCCACGGCCAGGCTAGCCACAGCCAGACCACACCATGGCCAGCCGGCCACGGCCAGGCCGGCCACAGCCTTCATCTTCCTCTTTGCTGCCCCATCACAAGCCCACCCCTGGAACCTGGACACCAGGAATTCTCCCACCCCTTGAATGCCAGCTCCTTGCTGAGGCCGCCACCGAGGCGACCACCGCCACCTTCCTCCTGGCTCCTCCCCCTCCAGGTGCGCAGTGCAGAGCGGCTCCACCTCCCCCCACTGACCTCGCTTCTCCCCCTCCAGGTGCGCAGTGCAGAGCGGCTCCACCTCCCCCCATTGACCTCGCTTCTCCCCCTCCAGGTGCGCAGTGCAGAGCGGCTCCACCTCCCCCCACTGACCTCGCTAGCTCCAGGCAGGGCCAATGCGCTGGGTCCAGCCGAGCCCAGCGCCTCACAGACTACCCCTCACCTCCCCACCGCACTCAAGCCCGGGGGACATCGAGGACGCTGGCAAGAGTGTCAGTTCTGGAGGACAGGCCTCCGGTGTGCCCCAAACTCCTGCAGTCCTCCCTGCCTGGCCTCCCTCCCTGCAGCCTGCAGAGATCATCCCACGCTCGCTCCCCGGCCCAGCCGGGCCCGGCCCTGTCACTGGCTCTGGAGAAGCTGGGCAGCCAGGGCAGGCAGGGCCAAGGCAGGAGCAGGGCTTCTCCGTCCAGGGACTCCGTCCTGACGGGCCGTCTTCGCCTGCAAGTGAACCTGTGTAGAGGCCCCCGGCGTTGCGCCCTGTGAACGCCGGCTGGTCTTGCTCCACTTGCTGAAACACCGAGGCCCCTCCACAGCCCCAGCACGCCGTGCGGGGCCTCGTGTCCCACAGGTGGTCCTGCGAGCGCCTCTTGGTCCCCCACAGGCCACCGTGGGGACAGCGGCGTGCGGGCTGGGCACGCTCCAGATTCCTGCTAATGCCTCAGCCACAGACAGCAAGCCTGGGGCCCAGGCCGCAAGCCGGCTCCTCCCGCTCCTCCTCCCGCTCCTCCTCCACCCCACCGTTCTCCTAAGCCCCTGTTTAGCTCTGACCTCCACGAAGCCCGCATCTCTGCTGCTCCTGGACGCCCCGTAAGCCTCCCTTCCCGAGGGCCACTCTGCAGTCCTAGGCCCGCTGGTCTGATCTCACCCCCAGAACTCAGGCCCGCCGGCGTGCTGGGGCCAGGACTGGAGATGTGGCCCCTGGCGACCAGGAGCCACTCCTGATTCTGCTTGGGTTGGAAGGGGAACCGGGGAGAAGGCGAGGCTTCCCCAGCCCGCAGCAGCGTGGGCAGCCTGAGCTGACTGGGCCAAGTCCCCAACGTGAGCCCCAGAAAGACCCTCTCAGCCCAGCCTCTCCCAGCCCAGCCTCTCCCAGCCCAGCCTCTCCTCATCCCCAAGTCTTCTTTGTGGCCCGCTTCCTATCTAAGCCTTCCTTTTCCTCTACAACTACATCTTCTCACTGCTGAGAAAGCTGGACAACATCCCAGAATGGCTGCTCACCAAGAGCGGCCACCAAGAATCAGGTGTGACCTCCACTGCTACCCTGAAGCCCGAGTGCAGTCTCCCGCCTGCTTCTCCACTCCTCTTCTGGAGGAAGGGAGCAGCTAGGGATTGAACTCAGGGCCCACAGGGTAGGCGAGGGCTCTGCCACCGAGCCCCACCCCAGCCCAGAGAGGAACACTCTGTTCTTTACCCTGTCTCGGCCTCCTCACTGTCCCCCCGCCCACTCTCCTCCTTCCATAGTTTTTTCTTTTTGGCCAGTCCTGAGGCTTGAACTCAGGGCGTGGGCTGTTCTTGAGCCTCTCTGTACTGAATTCTAGCACTCTACCACTTGAGCCACAGCGCCACTTCTGGCTTTTTCTGTGTATGTAGTACTGAGGAATCGAACCCAGGGCCTCCTGCATGCGAGGCGAGCGCTCTACCTCTGAGCCACCTTCCCAGTCCTCCTTTTGCCATTTTTTTTTTTTGGGTCTGGTCATGAGGCCTGAACTCTGGGCCTGGGCACTGTCCCTCAGCTCTTCAGCTCAAGGTGAGCGCTCTACCACTTGAGCCACAGCACCACTTCCGGCTTTTTAATATTTGCTTATGTGGTGCTGAGGAATTGAACCCAGGGCCTCAGGCAGGCAAGGCAAGCGCTCTACCACTGAGCCACCTTCCCAGCCCCATGTAGTGGGAGTATAATTTTTGTTTTTGTTGGGCGCTGTCCCTCAGCTCTTCAGCTACCATTGAGCCACAACACCACTTCCATCCTTTTGCCACTTTTAAACCGTATCCAAAGCCCTCACCAAGACCAGTTTGGGGAGCTCGACCTCCTTGGCAAAGAGCCTTCTAGAAGGCAGAGTGCATTGGAGTAAGGGGGGTTCCAAGCAGATTGGTCTATGAACTAGAAAAGCCCAGAGAAAATTATATATGTAAATGGGGAAAAAAAGCAAGCTTCAGAACGCGGTGTATAGAATGCTACTGTTTGTATTAAAAATAGATATATAAATATACATATTTATAAACTTGTAAATGCATAGAATTACTCTGAAAGGACACACAAGACACAGGCAACAGTGATTGACAGGATGGGGGCGGGACTAAGGCGCTGATGTTCCTGGGAGTTTACTTTTTGTCATATATTCTTCTGTACTGGTAAAATCTCACCATGGATATGCGTCTGGTTTCCAAAACAAACACAAAAATAAGAGAAACTGCCGCTGCAGAATGTACAGAAGGGAGAGAACAGGGTGCCTCAGTCTTAGGGACAGAAAGCACAGAACTTAAGTTTGAAAAGCCAGACTGTGTACATAAGTTAAGGGGAAAGTTCTTTCTACAACAATTGGCATATCATTTTACAGAGATAAAGCACTTGGAGAATAAATACTAGTCATTCCTCAGCCTCACAGCGCAGACAGGTTCGGATCTTCCACGCCCGCCCCAGCCAGGCTGAGTCTGACCCCGCAGGAGAAATCAGAGGAGCTGCAAGGGTTAGGAACCTTCTAGAGGGTCCTGGATGGCAAAGGAAGCCCCCAGGAGGACGGACGGTGGGGTTGCTCACGGGCCTCACGCAGGAGCAGGGTCAGCAGGGCCCTCCTGGGGCTGGGGGAGGACTGGGCGCCCCGGAAAGGACCCCTGCTGTTTGCGAAGTCGGGGACAGCTGGAGGCTGTCTGGGCTCCGCCATTTCGGTTTCCTCTCTGTCAAATGGGGGACTAACTGGGTCCTGCTGTCACACCTACTAGATGAGCGGGTGTGGGGCCATCTTGAAGGGGAGCTGCACGCCCAGGGGCTCGCGTGGAGGGGGGGCTGGGAGCACTGGCGGTTCTGAGGGCGCCCCCGCCTCTCGGGGCGCAGGGAGGCGCAAGCAGCTGACCTCCATCTCCCCGGTCCCCGGCCGTGAGGGGGAGGGTGCAGGCACCGGCCCTGTCAGCCTCCGACCTTGCTCTGGACGCTGAGGCGGGACGGTGGGTGCCGGCGGGCAGAGGGAAGGAGGCCGGAGCGCCACGGCCAGCGGGGTGAGGCCACAGCCACCCTGCCGGCACCAGCAGGGAGGAATGGGCTCCGGCGGGCCAGCCTCACCTTCCCACCGAAAAGCGTGGCATCTGACAGAGACAAACGCGCACTGCTTGGGCTGTGGAGAGCTCCGGCAGGATTCTCTCCCCTGGGAGCTGGCAGGCCGCTTGGGGGGACCGAGGACCTGGCCGGCACCCCGCCCGCCCGGGCAGGACAAGCCTTCCCCAGCCCAGGGCCGGCCCACCCCTCGCCTGGACTCTCCTAGGCTTTTGCAGGAAAGAGGGCGATGACAGGCTTCCAGGCCCAGAGATGCGGGGCAGCCTGGCTGCCACCCCGACCCTGCGCCCAGCCCTGCAGAGCCGGAGGCCAGGCGCCGCCACCCATCTCCTTGGATGGGAAGCTCCATTCTAGAAGGGATGGACAGGGACGCTCCGGTGGAGCAGGGAGGCCAGGCGCCCCCAGAGGAATACAAGAGCCTACCTGTGCGGCAAGAAGATTTTATTTGAAACATAGTCTGAGCAACCGAGTGCGGCCGGAGGCGGGGGCTGCCTGCCGGGCCAGCCCTGAGTGCCGACACAGCTCCCCACGGCCGCGGGCAACGAAGGCCTGCGCACCCCTCCCGGAGGTGTCCAGGTCTTGGCACCTGCCCGCCACGGCCATGCTGCCCGCCCTCCCCTCCAGCTCCACGCGGGCGCAGAGGGACAGGCAGGAAGGGCAAGGCGACCCAGGCCTTGGGGTGTTGACCCCTCTCACTCCCCTCCTCCTGGGCCCTGAGGGCAGGAAAGAGAGCTGGTGTGTGCGGGCAGGGCCTGAGGACACCCGGGCTGAAGGCAGCAAGCGGGGACCAGAAAGCTCAGCGGCTGAGGGAGGCGGTGCACCAGGGCGGCAGAGCCGCCGGGGCGGCACAGCAGCCGGGGCAGCACGCCAGGGCAGGCCATGGGCTGCAGTGGAGACCAGGAAGCAGCACAAGGCCATAAATAACAGAAGCAAACGCAGAGCAGAGGGTCCGGGGCCATCCCGTGTTTCTGGCAAGGGGACACAAACCCGGGCTCAGGTGGGCCCCGCACCCCGCACCCCGACCATACCCTCCAAAGCTGGCGATGGGACCCGGACCAACCTGACCACACGCGCCCAGCCGCGGGTCACACCTGAGGGGACAGCGCGGGGCCGTCCTGGTCCTGAGAAGCCCGCAGCCGGCTCTGGGCATCGCGGGCGCCACCCTCGGTCTGGGCAACGCCCAGTGACCTCTGAGCCTCGGGGACAGCCCGCAAGGGCTCTGTCGCACAGGCTTCTAGTCCATTCTCCCTTGTTTCCATGGCCACCTCCTCCCCAGAGCCTTCCTGTGGATCTGCAGCCTCCACCTTCACCTTCACCTCTTCCTCCTCCTCCTCTTCCTCCTCCTCCTCCTCCTCCTGGTCTCTCACTTTGTGGACGATGAAGAGGTGGCGGCTGAGGGAGCTGGTGGACGTGTAGCACAGGCCGCACAGGAGGCACTGGGCCGTGGAGCTGTCCACGTGGTGCTGAGGTACGTGGCTCTGAAACTCCGGCTCTGAGTCCGTGGCAAAGCCACATTTTGCACACTGGAAAAGCGACTTGTGCCTTTTGGTGGAAGACGCGGTGGTACCGTTGCTGGTGCCTGGGGCATCGCCTGCTCTTTTCAGCCGGTTTGCCTGGGGGAGGGCGGGGGCTCAGGAGGGCGCCGGGCGCTCTGCCAGCCCCACGCCCACAGCTCTGAGGACCGGGGCCGCCCCACGCCAGGGCGTCGCGGGGCACTCACCTGTGGGGAGCGGCCGCCTGGCGGTGTGACTTTGGACGTGGGGCTCAAATCGGGGCTGCGGATGCCGTGCATAAGGCTGACGTGGCTCTGCAGGAGCGAGGGCCGAGGGAAGCTGGGGCTGTCCTCCACACAGTACCTGCGGAGCACAGTGCCCGGCGGGTCTGGGCATGCCCAGGGCTGTGGGGAGCAGCGCTCCCGCAGGGCGGGCCAGGGGCAGAGAGCAGCAGGTGCTTCCCGGGAGCTGGCCCTGGGCCTACAGGCCAGACTGGCCACGGGAAAGACCCCGGGTCCTGGCGGCACAGGCAGGCCTCTCCCAGACCCCTCAGGACCCTTTGCCTTGGAACCCAGCGCTATGGCGGAGTGGCCAGAGCCCTTCCCGCCCTTGGTCTCCCAGGAGAGGCCCCTCGGGCGGGCGGGCAGCGGCTCTAC